GTGTACATTTAACCACAGGGCTTCGGTGAATAAATGTAAGGAAGAATGTAGGCAAGTACATTGTTTTCTGTCTGTCTTTCCAGTCCGTGCAGCCGTTCTTGACATCACTGACAGCCAGGTGATAGCAAAGCATCATTTATCAATTTTGTTGTCAGGGGAATGTTCCCGGCAGAAATGCAGTCAACAAATGTCAAGTAGACAAAACCAAATTGCTTTGTAGGTTCAGAAGACGTCATTCAAACACAAGCTCAGATGTTAAGAGTGATTGTCGTTCTACAGGATCCAGGTCGCAGGTTACATTCTGCTTTCATTCTTTGTAACTCTGTAAAACCTGTTTCAGGTGTTTTGCTCCACACAGCAGTCTACCCCAAACCTTATTTTCTTTGAGTGTGTAATAACGTTACATATCTTTCTCCCCAACTGAATAGATATCTTTCTTACTAGTATTGGTTTCAGTGTAGAGTTTTAGTGTCTCATGGCCTACAGTTAATACAATGTGAGGAGTTTCCACTGTGATGACATTCAATTCTAGGAAAGGAAACACAGAAAATGCACAATTACCTGGTACGTACATATATTTGATGGTTAAATTTGAGGTCACAGCATTTGCATTAACACAAAATAGGGTCTCAGATCAGCTCAATATCATTATATTTATGGTATTGATTTCAAGCCATGATTTGTAATTCTGTGAATTTTGATGATTTTATTTGATTTAGATCATCTCGCGCTGGTTATGAGTGTGTTTTTGGCTGAGGCTGTGGAGGAAAATGTGATTGTCAGACACCAACATGTACCTTTGCTGGCCTCTAACAGGGTTACTTTTGCAGTGATACCTTTCGTCATATCTGTGATTGGAGATCATATTTCTCTTTCCAGCATTTCACAATCCCACCTTAGTTTAGTCTAGCCAGTAGTTGGTTCGACATATGTATCAAATGTCACAAGTGGGCACCGCAAAATCTATGCTTCTCAGTTGATGTTTACAGACATCAGAGCAGGTCAGTAGGTGAGAGGGGACGGCAACGATACATCAAACAATAAAGGAGGTGATAGGTGACTCCTGCAGAAAGTAAACACACTGACCACTTACTAATAGTTGCCTTACCGGCAGGTTACAGTAACAGCAGTGGTGGTGTTAGCAGTCATACAGCTGCTTTCAGTTACCGAGTACTGGAGGCGTCATTGACAAAATGCACAAAAGTCTTTCACCAAATACCAGGAACACTTGAACATATATGTAATAAAGGGTCCCACTCCCACAATGCCATGATGGAGTGAAAAAATATTTAAAAATTCCTGTGAACTGCATTTACATATAAAAACTATCTATGATAAATTGGTGTCATTCTTAACTGACTGCAGTCCAATATAGGGCTAGTCTTTTAATACAGCCAGTATCATATCACGCATGATGAAATGATTTACAATAAGCAGTAGATTGAGGGTTGTTCAAGTTCAGTCAAGCACTTAAAGGTTGTAACTTGCTGCTCTTACATGCTACCACTGTCTTAAGTAAAATGGACAGATTTCTAATGCTAACTCTATTTGGAGAGCAGATACAGTCAAGTATGCATACACTTTACATTATTACATTGTGAGAATGTAACAAAAGCATTCACTACATGATTAGATGTAGTTCACCCATGAGTTGAAATCCTAAGATCAAATTTGGTGGCTCTGATCTGAAAGTGGACTTTGCCTCAATAAGCCAGAAACAATCATCCTGTTCCCTTCAACAGTCTGTTGTGAAATAGTCATATTCCCTTATCGTCACGCCTGGACAATGCTGAAGGCACAGAGAGGACAAGGACAGGTCAAGAGGTTACCTGTCACAAGCAGACCTTTAGGGCCCACAGCGCAGGTATGTTGGTAAATCCTAAAGTTAAGTTTTCACTAGTGTTTAGCCAGAGAGTGTTGCCTATCTGTTCGAATTGATTAGTCAATCACCAGACAATTAATTCTATTTTGATACTCATTTAATCATTTTCATCAGTGCCAAACATCCAGCAGCTTCATACTTGGATTTGCTGCTTTTCTTTGTCTTATGTGACCGTAAACGTAATAATTTTGTGTTTTGGGTCGTTTGTCAGATAAAACAAGACATTTGAAGATGTCACATTGGGCTTTAAAAAACTCATGGGCATTTTTCAATATTTTCAAAATAACTGTTAGTTAAAGACCCAAATGTACCTGCAGAGATAGCTGATGGAGTAGAGAAACTTGACCCCTTAACCTGCACTTTTATCTGGAGACACCTTTATCTTTCTCCCTGAGTTTAGATGTCTAGTCTTGACAGACCATTGAACATCCAAACACACAGATGGACATGTTTGAACATGTTGATGTTCGTTCTGTTTTTGTATAGGGCTGGATAAAAAAAAAAACTCACCGACATTTTGAATCTCTCGCTAACAATTGCTCGCGTTACACGTACAAAATCTTATTGCCATTTAATTAAACTAAATTAGTTAGACATCATCAACGGCATCTAACCAGACATTCAATGAGAGAAAGTCTAGTCCAAAAGTCCAAAATCTTGAACTGCTTGCTCTGTGATTATTACAGACAAACATATAAAACGTTAGCCAGCACAAGAAATGAAATATCATTGATGTATCAAGTAAATACTCATCTTTACATTTATCATTATTTTGATTAAAACTTTGGATCATATTGTGTATCCTAATCTTTTAAATATCTCATACAATCAGTCGAGAAGTTAAAGATTAAGGATGTTTATGTGAAGTACCATGATTTGCAGTGTCTTAGTGGCCCAGTGGTCTAGCCCATTATCATGCACTGCATATTTGGATTCAACATATTCTTTTGTTGAACGCTGCTGCTTCCACAACAACATATGTATCAGTGAACACGTGTTGCACAAGGTTTTCAGTGTTTCAAAATGTGGACACACTGATTGGTCAAGATGACACTGTTGTTCCTCATTGTTCTTCTCTCACCCCTGTATTGTGTAACATGTAGAGACCCTCTCTGGTTTGACCCTCAGTAACCTCATTGTCTCACCATGATCATTTGGGAGTGAGGAGCACACAGTCTTCAAACATGTCCTTCCTTCTGTGTTAAACCAGATTGTGAACAGCCAATGCAAATATTAGTGGCTTCTAAAGAAAGCAACAATATGCCCAGCTAGAATAGAGAAGATCCTTCTGCCAAAAGAAAATGCATTTGATGTGGGATTTGTTTTGGTTTTGTTTGTACTGCTGTCATCTAATTTTAAGATTTAATTGTTAAATTCTAGGTTCCATGTTTTGTGTATTTTAACATTTGTGACTACTTGGGGAAACAAGTGATCTCACTTTGGCTTTGAGATCTAGTGTGGTTTTGTTGATCGACAAATAAGCCAAACAAAATCGCAGATTTTCATAAAAAGCCAACTTCACACCATCCTGTAATTACAGCATTTATTTTGTTTTTCCAGTATTCTGGCAACTCAAATTGCTCAATTCCAATCATGTTCAATTTCCTATGATTATATAATTGTTAAGGCTGCAACTAAGAGTGTGAATCTGCAGATTATATTCTTGATTAATTGTTTATTGTACAAAAAAAGAAGTAGAAACAAACCAATCACAATTTCTCAGAGGCTAAGATGATGTCTTCAAATAGCTTGTTTTGTCTAACTAACTGTCCAAAACCCAAAGATATGCATTTTACAATGATTTGAAACAGCAAATCAATACAATGGATGAGCGGGACATAGTGAATGTTTTGTCTTTTTTTGCTTGAAAAATTACTGAAACTATTCGATTAGAGATAGTTGCGAATTAATTAACGTGGATTTATCAACACATCGTTTCAGCTCTAACTGTCACGCAAATAAAGCCAGTTGAATTGAAATAAAAAACTGAGAAAGGCTGATTGTACCTCCAAGTGAAATGTAGTAGCTGCTTTGCGGTGCATTAAAAAACGTCTTGCAGTTTCAGTTCTCATCCATCCGTTGCCAGTAAATCTTCCTTGAATTTTGACAGAGACAAGAAGCTAGCAAAAAAGACTGGAAGAGGAGCGGGAGAGAATGAGAAAGGAAAAGAAAACAGGAAACTGAAGGTAGAAAAATTCCAGGGAGAAAGTGATGCACCCTGTAGACAGAGAGGTAGAGATGGATAAATAGTGTGTATGAGAACATGACAGACTGATAGATGGAAAGAAAAAACTATGTGAAGTAGAAAATAGGCTGATGAGAAGAAGAAGAAGAGATGATGGGACGGGGGGGGGGGTCTGTCTCCATGGTGACCGTGGCTCCTGCCGAGCTGTGGTGGTGGTTTTGTTTTTTTCTAGCTGGTTGTGCTGTAAGATTTTTGTTTTGTTTGCTGAACTCAATGTTCTGTCCAACTAACCACCCATACAAGACTGTTTCTTCTCTTGCAGTACAGTTATCCATCCCATTAATACATGCAGCACATGCATGTAGGTAGGGCTGGGCAATAAAACAATAATGATAATTATCGCGATATAATTTTTCTCAATAAAATAAATGTTCAATAGATTGTAAAAAAAATGGTTTAATTCATTAGAATCACGGACAAATTAGCACGTAATTTTTCTATTAAAATGTTTATTTTGTTGAGGAAAAGGGACTGAAAAAAAATCATATTTGTAATTTTTTTTTTACTATAATAGTTCTGTGATCCACTGTTTGGCGTCAAGTGTTTGTCACATTCTGACCATAAAGAAATGTTTAACCACATAATTAACCATCTGGTTTCTTCAATTTTCAGTCAGGAGCAAAAATCAGCCTTTAAACTTGAAAGAAATAATGATTTGACATTTATCGTGATAATTATCGATATCGAATGATATGAAATGTTTTTATCGTGATAATATTTTTGGCCATATCGCCCAGCCCTACATGTAAGTCTACTGGACTTTAAAGATAGTGATTATTGGTGTCTGTCAGATCCTGGAGTTTGTCATGTTTGAAGTGTATCATGTTTTCTTTTGAAACATGAAGACATTAATTCCAGTCTTTTCCTCTCCAGCCTTCCCCTGGTTTGGCATGGACATCGGTGGCACCTTGGTGAAGTTGGTGTATTTTGAGCCAGTTGATATAACTGCAGAGGAAGAACAGGAGGAAGTGGAAAACCTCAAGTCCATCCGCCGCTACCTCACCTCAAACGTGGCTTATGGTATGTCTACCCACACACACGGTGGTGACACCCACATACTTACATCTGTTAACTTGTGTGTGTGTGCGTGTGTGTATCTAAGACAAAGGTAAAGGACACTTTACAAGAAGATAATTTATTGCATAATAATTAGTGCTGGACGATTAATTGCATTTGCGATATCGCGATATGATAAAACAAGATTTTTTAATCGCAAAGGCTGCGATTACACTCTGGTCACATGACAGGCGTGAGTAAACCAGTCTGAAGACGAAGCATCAACTTTGCACGTTACGCTGTACCTTGACTTGTTGTTGTATTGCCTTAAGCTTGACAGAAGCTGACACTACAGAAATTTAGTGTCACACAGGGAATGAAAGTAGCACCTGCGGGTAACGTGGTGGTGGTGGTGGGTGAAATCGTCGGGCCATCCGCCACTTTGGCGGACAGGAAAAATGCACAACAGAAAGACACTTCTAGTAAAGTAAGCTTATTGTGGCGATCGGTGTCTATGTCACACACATAGCCACCAGTCAGCTCAGGAAATATCTGTGAAAAGGCTTTTCAAACCAAACGCACAAGTCCGAAAGAGGCCCAGTCTGTCCCGAGTTCGGAGGCTGCGGGGAGGGGAACTCCGCTGTTGTCGGAGAATTACTAAGCTTGTCTATTAAACACGAGAGGCGTCACTTGGTTTTATTTTTGTTGGCCAACTTTTGAACTGAACCTCAAACTGAGTATTTTTAGAGGTTTTTAATGAGAGATGGACTCCTAGGAGAATTGAACTGAGATAAGGACTCATTAATTGGTGATTGAACTGTAGGTTTTGTATTGAGCATTTACAGTGTTGAACTGTTTTTCTGTAGGTAGGCCTACCTGATGATATTATCTGACTTGACTCTCAAATTATCTTTCTCATATTGTTATAATTTGGTATGTCTTTTCCAACATTGCTCATAATAATAATTTATGCAATTCATAAATTTCTTCATAACACAAGCCTGACCTACAAGAAAGAACAGTGTATGTTTAATCTATCTAATATTGTGTTGGTCATACACTGACTGCTTGTCTTTTTTGAATAATACAGAAGGTGAAGAGCTTAAAAATGAATCGCAAATTAAATCGCAAAATTGGTTAAAAAAATCGCTATTAGATTGTTTTACAAAATCGTTTACATAATATGTTCAGTAATTTGTTCTTGACTTCAGGTTCGGCTGTTGTAGAAACCAGATTTTCTCCTTTTAATGTTCTGAAACATCAACACACCACAAAGAATGTTTTGTTTAGTTCAAAAAAGTACTTGGATAAAGTTAAACCACAGCTTTTAGTAGAGTGTGTTTTGCAATTCCTAAATCGACAAGAGTTAGTCCAGAATCCTTGATTGTAAAACTCGTTCCTCCCTCACTCAGGTAAAACAGGCGTCCGTGACGTCCACCTGGAGCTGAGGAACCTGACCATGTGTGGCAGGACAGGGAACCTCCACTTCATCCGCTTCCCGACACAGGGTATGCCCCGTTTCATACAGATGGGTCGCGACAAGAACTTCTCCAGCCTGCACACAACACTCTGCGCCACCGGTGGCGGCGCGTACAAGTTCGAGAATGACTTCAGGACGGTGAGTGTTTGGACAGAGACAACTGCTGATTAGTGTTAAGTCAAATATTTCAACATTAGTAACTGTCTCACTTTAAGTTACTTTAAAGCTCGATCGACAGAAAATTAATCTGGAAGTTTTGGATTGTTGTCAGACAAAATGTGTATCACCTTGTGCTTCAGAAAAGTGCAACAGACATTTTTCACTGTTTTCTATTAACCAAACAATTAATTGGCAAGTGAATCAATAAAAAAATTGTTAGTTTCAGCCCCAGATACTGATCATGCTAACTAGGCCATGAAAACACTTCTCTCACATTTGCAGTATATAGAATTAAAGTCATCTATCGTGATGTCTTTGCAGTTGATTTACGCTATCCATACACTTCTGCATTTTTCTGGTGATTCTAAAATCCTTGAAGTTCCTGCATTTGATGTCTATCTCAGTGTTTACCTGAGTTCATTGACCCTTTCTGCAGTGCAGTAGGATCAATGAACTCTCCCTGGGCACTGCAGCATGGACTGAGCTAAACCAAAACCTTACGCAGACTTCAGCCTTTAAGTGCTTTGAAAATAATTTTAGCTTCATAAAACTGATAAATCAGTGCTTCAAAGAAATGTGATAATCTTTTATTTTAAATCATCTTGATCAGTTAAAAAACCTCAGTATTTTAACCCCTCCGACATTTGTGCTTCAGATGGCCGACCTGGAGCTGCTGAAGCTTGACGAGCTGGACTGCCTGATCCACGGCTTGCTGTACGTTGATCGAGTGAGCTTCAATGGACACCCAGAGTGCTACTACTTCCAGAACCCATCAGACACTCAGAGCTGCTTGAAGAAACCCTGCACCCTGGAAAACCCTTTCCCCATGCTGCTGGTCAACATCGGCTCCGGGGTCTCCATACTGGCCGTGTACTCTGAGAACAACTACAAACGGGTGACTGGGACCAGGTGAGGAGAAAAGAATAATCCGGTGAACAGAATCTAATAGTGCATTTAGTTTGTTTTAGTTAGTATCATATTTTGAACTCCAAATTGAGACTAAACTAGTTTGTTACAATACTGTGAGAAAGTCCACCACAAACACTACTACTAATAAGGTTTGTTTTTGCCTGAATGAATATGGTAAAAGTGGCTGAATACTTTTTATAGCTTCAGTAGATCTGCCAGATAGGCCAGGATCAGTTGTTTGAATTCCAGCTATTGTTGTTGTTGTCCAGCTCAGTACTTGTGTAACTGTAGGACTAGATTTTGATTAGATAATGAACTGCTGAGATTAGATGTAAAATAAAAGGTCCTGCCCAGATACGGCGAGGGCATGTTGATGTGATCATTTTTTACATTTTATTTAACAACTGAACAAGCCTCCTCATAAGCAGTTACAACTTAGTTCACCCATTAAGCTAATAGAGTCAATCACAGTTTAGTCTGTCTGTCTGTCTGTCTGTGTTCATGAATGTAAGTACTATCATAGTACACCACTGGTCATTTGTCACTTCCTTATTCTGGAAATGGCAAGTGCGTCTCATTGCTGCTGCTCACCATGACACTAGAGTTTGTGTGTGCGTGCGTGTGTGTGTGTGTCTTTTAATGTTTCACTCTGCTCCAGGAAGAGGAAAACATGAGCAAGCCAAACTTAGATGTTGTGGGAGTGAGTAGTGAGGTCAAGTCAAGGGAGTGGGTGTGTCAGGTGTTAAGTGTGTGTGTGTGGTCTGATGTGTGGGTTTTTAATCTTTAGACTCACTTTTACAATTTTCGTGTAAAAACCTTTCATCTTGTTTATTTCCTTCTCCTATCTTTTTAGTTCTTTTACTAAACATTTAGCTCCTACCTCGCTGTATTTCTGCTTTTTAAAGCACATGGTAAACCTGTTAATACTGGGAAAATAAGATTTGTTTCCATAAAAACTGTCCCATATTGATGTGTTGAATTTCATGTATTTCTTTTTCCTTATTCATCCACCCAGATGTATATTTTCTAGTGTATTTGCATCACATTTTAAAGTTGAAGCCAATGCGGATGGTATTTATGCTGCTGGCTGCTTATAAAACTGATGATACAGACATTAAAACTTGTTCAGAGGTCTGCTGTGCGTGGCCCAAGCAGAACTCCTGTGACTGTTGAATGGTGTAAAAAAATATATATATTGCATATTAATTTCACACAGAAAAATATTGCAACTTCAATACTGCTTGTTCTTTCCTCACCTCTCTTACTGCCATGTCACTCCTTCCACTTTTCTTCTTCTTAATTCCCATCTTTTAACTTAACCTTTCCTTTCACACCTCATACCTCTTTCCCATTCTCTTATTTTAACTTCCTTCTCCTGCTTTATCCTCTTTCTCTCTTAATTTCAGTCTGGGAGGTGGTACCTTCCTGGGCCTTTGCTGTCTGCTGACGGGCTGCGAGACGTTTGAGGAGGCGTTGGAAATGGCCAGCAAGGGCGACTCCACCAACGTGGACAAACTGGTGAAAGATATCTACGGAGGAGACTACGAGCGCTTTGGCCTACAGGGCTCCGCTGTCGCATCCAGGTGAGTGTGACGAGGGTTTTGTCACCTGAAGGTCCACAGAGTCTTCCACACTTCACTTCATCGAGACATTTAATCCTCTGAATGCTAAATGCATCAACGGCCATTAACAAAAAGGTTGTGATTGTCGTAAGGGATGATGAAGAATGAACTCTTTGTGCACCATTAAGAGCTATAAGTATGGAGCAATACAAATCCTTTCTAGAGACAAAGCATCCAGCCAACCTGCTTATTGTTTAAATCAGTGTCCTTGTCAATAGCTTATTCCATAAACCCTCTTGAATCACAGGTGTTTGAAAGTAAATCAGAGCCGCCCCATCATCATTGATGACTCGAATAGCCAGTCGAGTCTAACCACAAAGTGGTGCTGTTGAATCATTGCACTTTTTTTAAGATGTGAACACAAAGCAATGCGGGATTATGATTCGGCAGGTTATAAACCTTTGCAAATCTACTCTCTCACAAAATTGCGTGTAAATAGAGGTGTGATGGGAACTGAGGGAAGAGTGACTTGTTTCTGTTCACGGCACTGGTGCTTCAGTGCTGTAAGCTAATGAAGTCGGCTAAATTGCTTTTGAACCAGACGCTGGCACCGCTTCCTCCACTACCATCTACTATGGTCGCGACATCTGCTGATGCTGGTGTCAGGAGGCAATCAGGAGAGATGCTCTGCAGTGCATTAGGATTATATCACAAAACAAAGATGCACATCTTTTTTTTTTCTTCTCTGACCGTATGGAAATCTGATGATCGAAGACACTAAAATGTGAGTCTTGTAATTCATGTAGCTGTTACAGGAGATGTTATGGGAGCTGAGTGTGGAGTAAATGTTAACAGATCCATTTTCTTCATCAAAAGCTTAACTTACTGAATCAGCTTAAAACACTGATTTATTTGTTAATTAGGAAATTGCTCGCACAGCACAATGGGGGTGAACATGAGTTATCCAAAATTACTTTGACGGGGCTTAATTTGTACGTGGACGCAGTACCGTTTCATAAGAACGTATGGCTGCACAAACACACATAGTTATAACAGAAATACAAAAGACACGTGCCAGCAAATAATAGCTGACTGGTAAGCAAACACACTCAAACTACCTCGCTCGGACACGCAGACCTTTACTTGCTAATCTGGGTTTATCATGTATACAGTAAACCTGCAGCTCTGTGGTCAAAGGTTGATTCATAAAGCAAAGTGAAAAACAGATTTTATCACAGATTATAATCACAGTTTCTTGTTATGGTGTTCTGTTCTGCCATTTATTAAAACAAAACACATTCTTACACACACACACACACACACACACACACACACACACACACACACACACACACACACACACACACACACACACACACACACACACACACACACACACACACACACACACACACACACACACACACACACAACTACTTGCCTACCCCTAACCTTTAACTGTCTCTACAATGTGACTGTGTAAAGAGATTTATGTCCCCACAACATGAGTAATACTCGCTCAAACACACATTGACAAACAATTCTTGTTTACTGTTCATCTGAAGGTTATTGTGACATTTACAGAGAGTCGTGTTCTGTAATTGTTTTGGTTTTCTCTGTTGCATTAAATTTTTTAAGGGATCACACTATGGAAAGAAAAACTGTTTACATGTAAAATGACACATGTGGTTCTTCATATGATGTTTTTCATATGGTCTGTTTTACAGTTTTGGTCACATGATGAGCAAAGAGAAGCGAGACAGCATAAGTAAGGAAGACCTGGCCAGAGCCACACTGGTCACCATCACTAATAACATAGGATCCATAGCACGGATGTGTGCCGTCAACGAGGTACACATTAACACACACACACACACACACACACACACACACACACACACCCCCTGCTCACTAGAATCCAACAAACACTGCTCAAAAAAATAAAGGGAACACTAAAATAACACATTCTAGATCTGAATGAATGAAATAATCTCATTAAATACTCCTTTCTTTACATAGTTGAATGTGCTGACAACAAAATCACACAAAAATTATCAATGGAAATCAAATTTATCAACCCATGGAGGTCTGGATTTGGAGTCAAAGTGGAAAACCACACTACAGGCCGATCCAACTTTGATGTAATGTCCTTAAAACAAGTCAGAACGAGGCTCAGTAGTGTGTGTGGCCTCCACGTGCCTGTATGACCTCCCTACAACGCCTGGGCATGCTCCTGATGCCAACTCCTGGACAGTCTGTGGTGCAACGTGGCGTTGGTGGATGGAGCGAGACATCATGTCCCAGATGTGCTCAATTGGATTCAGGTCTGGGGAACGGGCGGGCCGGTCCATAGCATCAATGCCTTCCTCTTGCAGGAACTGCTGACACACTCCAGCCACATGAGGTCTAGCATTGTCTTGCATTAGGAGGAACCCAGGGCCAACCGCACCAGCATATGGTCTCACAAGGGGTCTGAGGTTCTCATCTGGGTACCTAATGGCAGTCAGGCTACCTCTGGCGAGCACATGGAGGGCTGTGCGGCCCCCCAAAGAAATGCCACACCATTACTGACCCACCGCCAAACCGGTCATGCTGGAGGATGTTGCAGGCAGCAGAACGTTCTCCACGGCGTCTCCAGACTCTGTCACGTCTGTCACATGTGCTCAGTGTGAACCTGCTTTCATCTGTGAAGAGCACAGGGAGCCAGTGGCGAATTTGCCCAATCTTGGTGTTCTCTGGCAAATGCCATACGTCCTGCACGGTGTTGGGCTGTAAGTCCACCTGTGGACGTTGGGCCCTCATACCACCCTCATAGAGTCTGTTTCTGACCGTTTGAGCAGACACATGCACATTTGTGGCCTGCTAGAGGTCATTTTGCAGGGCTCTGGCAGTGCTCCTCCTGCTCCTCCTTGCACAAAGGCGGAGGTAGCGGTCCTGCTGCTGGGTTGTTGCCCTCCTACGGCCTCCTCCACGTCTCCTGGTAGCGCCTCCACGTTCTGGACACTACGCTGACAGACACAGCAAACCTTCTTGCCACAGTTCGCATTGATGTGCCATCCTGGATGAGCTGCACTACCTGAGCCACTTGTGTGGGTTGTAGACTCCGTCTCATGCTACCACTAGAGTGAAAGCACCGCCAGCATTCAAAAGTGATCAAAACATCAGCCAGGAAGCATAGGAACTGAGAAGTGGTCTGTAGTCACCACCTACAGAACCACTCCTTTATTGGGGGTGTCTTGCTAATTGCCTATAATTTCCACCTGTTGTCCCTTCCATTTGCACAACAGCATGTGGAATTGATTGTCAATCAGTGTTGCTTCCTAAGTGGACAGTTTGATTTCACAGGAGTGTGATTGACTTGGAGTTACATTGTGTTGTTTAAGTGTTCCCTTTTATTTTTTTGAGCAGTGTACTATCCACACCAGGCATGTGTGGTTTATGTACTACTTATACACAAACACATGGGAGATTATAGTTACTCTCACCAGTAGCACATGTTGAAATTAACTAATGATATGGGATTTATAGTAGACACCCCTTCTGTCAGTAACACAGACGACTAATCTAGAGCTTTTCTAGCCACTTGGGATGACTAACAACATAAAGTGAACCAAATTCCTGCATGGTTAAAAACACACAGATGCACCTGCAACAAGTTATGTTTTAAACATTATTACACTCACTGATATACACTGATTTTGTTCCAGCATCCAAAATCCACAAATTTCCTTGTAGTTCATTTGGTATGTTTTGAATCTCAACTGTGAATAGCGTTCACAGTTTCAAATAATCAACTGTGAGCTTCCTGGCAATTTTGGGATTGTGGGTGCAAATTGGCGCTATAGTAAAATTAGCAAGTATATCATAAAAATACTTTAAACACCCAAAAACTGTTGAACCTGATGGCATAAATGAAAAAAATGGAGTAACTGCTAAAGCTGGATTTGAAGTGTTTCAGTGGCAGCAGCCAAACTGAAACTTGTTATTTTCCGAAGTGAAAGATCAGCCTGGAGTCTTTCTGTGTGCTGTGAGCTTCTTTACAGTGTTGCCTTGTGGCATGGCGATCAAGCAGCATTGTACAGGGCTATCACTGCACACAGAGCTGCAGCGAAGACGCACACACATGTCCAACAACCACAGGGTTGAGGGCTAATTCTGATATTTCTGTATTGAATTTCCCTTAAAAGGTCTTAGGGATAAAATATAGCCTTGTAAATTGTCCTCTGAAAGCCAAACTGATGAAACTTAGATATATTTGGCCCTTTGGAGTTTCGGAGTAGTTTCATCCATCCATACAAAATACATAATAAAAAGTATTTTCGACTAGTGTTATCCTCTGGCTGTGGACAGGAAGGGAATTCCATCTTATCAGGGAATTACCTGATAATTGGAAGCTACCACTGTTACTGTCTTTCTCATTTTACAGTGTTTTATTTCCATGACCCACAAGAAGAGGTTTAGCAGGTCTAGCTTCATTGCAGTTGTGAACCCTTTTCAGTTCATGGCATAATACCAAATTTATTCAGCATGTGGTTGGTAGCCGCTCCTGACCTCACCAGTAAGAAAGACCAAATGGTATTTTGTTTAGTAGAGCAAGAGATTTACTGGTAAGGAGTTTGTCAGCTCTCCAGCACCACCATGTGGTTTAGAAGAGATAATTGCCCACAATTGATATTTCTCATAAAAATGTATTCATCTGTGACATCTGTTTATTCAAAACATTAATACATGGATTACTATTATTATTATTATTATTATTAATGTGCTTAAGTAAAGATTAAAACATTCCTAAAAAGTTTTATAAAGAGATTCTGTTTCATAGAAAGAGCAGGGGGGACCATTGTTGTTGTTCCATTGGTGTATTGAAATGTATGTAGCAACATTTGGCCATTCTCGTTTTCTTTTATTATTATTTTGTGGGGCATTTTATTCCTTCTTTAGAGTTGATAGTAGAGACATGATGGGAAATGAGGGGAGAGAGAAATGGGGAATGACATGCAACAAGGTTCCCCAGATGGATGAATGGTCAGCCACCAAGGCACCCCGGCCTTTCATATTTTCAAATGAGGATATATGCTATTGTAAAATTTTTATTTTCTTTTTTTACGTCTGTCTTTATATCAGAAAATTGAGCGTGTGGTGTTTGTTGGAAACTTCCTTCGCATCAACACAGTGTCCACAAAACTGCTAGCCTATGCCATGGACTTCTGGTCTAAAGGACAATTACGAGCCCTCTTCTTGGAACACGAGGTGAGCACTCGACTAAAACACCATAAGATGAATTTAACCAAGGTATGGACCTGAAAGAAGTCAAACCTCCTGTTTCTAAAGCCTGATCTTAGTGTTGGACTAAACAAAATGAATCAAAATGAAATATCATCAAAGGTAGCACATAAAAACTCTCAGTAAAACCCACGAGAGTGTGTGTAAGAAGTGTATGTATGTGTGTATTTGTCTTTGCACCAGGGTTATTTTGGAGCTGTTGGGGCGCTGATGGAGCTGCTCAAGACAACAGAGGACCCCTAAAGGAATTTCTGTCGTGACATCATCGACCCTTGACAAGATGATGTCATCCACCCCTGAACGCTGTGATGTCATCAACTCTCGATGCTGTGACGCCATCTACTTTTGAGCCTGCTGAAAGGTCCCGTTCACAGAGGCCGTAAAGGAACACTAAGAGAGAGAGAGGCGCAGAAACTGAGAAAAGCCATTTTAATAATTTAACACTTGTAAATAATGATAACCTCTAACATTCATCTCCTAAATTTCCCAAACAGAGTTCCCCTATCATAGAGGTTTTAATATTGTTATCTTTTAATTTATGGTTTCCTGTAACCACCTGTGTTGATTCCTGTAATCAGTCCTGTGTCAGGAAGCACAGAGACACAGAGTACGTTGGTGTTTTTTTTTTTTGTTACTGTGTTTGTGTGAATAGCTACTGTAGCATTACGTCCTGGAGGCTGTGGTGCCCCCGGCGACTATTTGTGCAACAGTTCTTTAAGATAGGATGTCAGCACAAGAATGAAGTTACTCTTGAATGAGTTATTGGGCATTTTTTTACCACCAGAGACTCAAAATTCATTTTCTGCGACCACAGAAACATCATTTGACAACCAATACCTCCTGCCTTTATCTGTCCAGGTGCAGTAGCTGAAGCTTTCTGTAATGTTAACGTCTGGTTTGTCGCTGAGGCTGTAAAACCACCAATCACATCGTCACTTAGCTCCAAGCTGCAGCTGGACAGCCGTTGTGGCAGTAGCTAAGGGTTGGGAGGCAGTTTGTTGTCACCTGTCTGTTGCACAAAGAGTTGCCCACCATGCTATAGTCTTCTAAGGAGTGCACTGAAGCCAAATCCTGTTGAGATTTGTACGACACCTGCCTCCTTCAGCTCAGATGAGAAGCAGAAAAACTTTTTTAATTCTTTCTTTCTGTTGCTCCACTGCACAAGGCCTTTGCTTTTTGTTTGTTTCTCCACCGTCTGCCTACATGTAAACAACATTAACAACACCATCTTGCCACGCATGCATACCTAACCTGCTGAGTTTAGTGTTAGATGATGGGACCAAGACATTGTCTTCCTACAGCTGTTGATTTCTGTTGACTAGCATCACTACAACTACAGTTCAGGATCTAGTCTGGCTCACCCATTTAAGTTTGTGATTTTTTTTTAAATATATATCTGTAGGGAATTGAGTTTTCTTTTTCTCTTGCCCTTCCCTGTCTCTCAGTGTCTAGCTCAAGGACACTTTTCCTCACCCCCTAGCTCCTCTGCCACCCTGCTGCCTTGTGTGGATGTTTCAGTGTATGCGTTTGGGCTGAGCTAATGCCGGCTTTAAAGATTAGAGATCAAATTTGCTCCATTTGAATCGTGACATAAAAATAGTTCGGCACCCCTGCTATACATGCAGATGTGGAAGAACAGTGTAGACAATGGGGATACAGGCGCTTGTAGCATGTAAAATACACTACTGCAGATTTGCTAGCAGCGGAATCAGTTCAACTACTTTAGATTAGCGTGCTTTTACTGTCTAATAGGTGATTGATAGGTGTTGTGTAAGTGCTGCTGGGTAGAAGATTCATTACAAGATATGTTTTAGAAGTTGGCCAACATTCTCCCGCTACAACCCTGATAATCACTTTTTGCTCGCCTTAGACCATTTCAGATACTTTGTGCATCATTTCAACCAACCCCTAAACCTGGGGTATGGAACATGCACACAAGCAAGACCTTAAAAAAGCTCTAGACAAGGAAATGGCTTCATTTATTTCTCAGATACACAGTTGTTTGCATGACTCTAAGAACAATGAAGTTCTGTTTGTCCTAATCTGAGTCCACACTAGCATGCACCCTAGAAGACCCTACTTTTTGTTTCATTGTGTATTTACTGAATACTTTCAAATTAGGCCTGAGATTGTAGGATGGAAAATCCTATTGCTTGTCTGAATTGACTGTAATAATGCTCTGAGCAGAAAACGTCTTTCTGATACTTTTTCAATGAATCTCTAATCTGCAATAATTTGGGGGAAGTTGGAACTGTAAATTACATGCACACCTCATCTTACAGGCAAGGTTCGCTTGTAATTTATTATGCATGACAAAGACAGCAGTGAGCTTTCTCACTGACAGTGAATTATAGAATTATTAGATCATAGCTGTTGGAGAAACATGTACCACAAATGTAAAATTTCCTATAATGTCATGTTAATGACCCTCCCCCCACCTTCCAGCCTGGACCTTTACAGCCTTTCATCTCTGTTTGTCAAAGCAGCTGAGCTATAAAGCTGGACACTGTAGTTTCCACTGTTCACTGCTTTACAGTGATTTAGCACCACTGTCTACATGCCTTCACCCTCCAGCAGAGAAACTGTGCTCCTTTCCTTTTTTGCAATCACTCATTGTGTAATTCACCTCCATTTCTTAGTTTTTGTACTCTAGACTATTTGTTGTTAAAATACCTCCAAACCATCACTACCAACACTTTTGGGTCTGTGAGTTATCTGTGTTTCTGAGCCAGATATACAAGTGTTAGTTAGGATTTCCTTGACAGGACCTTGGAGTTCTCAAAATGTCACCACAGTATAATAACAATGGGCAAACCCTTATCAGCTAATTGAATGGTATGCAAGTATTCTGAACATCTTAATGACAAAATCAAGTGATTGCAGTTTTTTTCATTAATTTATGAAAAGACACGCATTTCAGTTGGATTATAGGCTACATAGTTCTTAGGAAGTTGTTATTTAAACTGATGTTTTTATCCACAACAACTCACAATACACTAACATTTAAAATGTTTTGCTGAAAAATTGAATATGCACAATTTGAAATAATTATGTTTGCAAATTAAAGATTGAACAGAATCAAAATAGATGAACAGTGGGCAGTTCATAACTCATCAGGTACCAGAATAATCACATTTTTACAGATTGCATCCTCTGTAGTCCATGCATACTAAAAGTTAAACACTACTATTTCTCTACTATGGATGCAGTGAGAGTAACATGCTTCATTAACTACCTATTGGCTTCAATAATCCAAATGCAAACACTTATGCAAGTGTTGAGAGTAAAACTGTGTTGAAATACTGTTTGAGTAGCAATGTTTTGCAACCAATTTCCTCTGAAAACATTGAGTCACCAGTGTGTTCGACCCAGCTTGTTCTTCACCTGTGACGACACTGCATATGTTCTTTGCGGGTGCTTTTTGTTTTTGCCTTGTTCCAACTCATGTTTGGATGATAATAGTGGCCTCGACCTGTCAGGTGCCGCTCTGCTCTAAAATCAGGCTGGTGATGGTTATCTTGTGCCACCCCTTCTTTAAATCTGAAAACCAACAAAACCGTTGCCTTCACTGTGTTTTTGCCTGGTTACACCATGTCCGTGCCCTTCAGTTTGTGATTTAATTTCAGTTTCTTACCTGCTGAACTTCACCTCAGTGTTTTTGTAACATTGTGTGTGCAGATGGATCTTAATGTTCAGGGTTATACTATTGATTTCTGTATGTGTGTGTGTGTTTGTTTTTGCCATTGTACTGTAACAGATTCAGTGCAGTTAACATCCACATCCACAGTTTGAATCATCAGCATTCACAACTCACCTGCTAGTCAGGAATTTGTCTTAGTACAGAAATAACATAATCTTCGACTAGCACTGCAACGGTTTTGGTAACAATATATGATCTTTTGGAAAACCACAACATTCTTTAGGTATCACAGATCATTAATAATGAGTCCTGGAATTTGGAAAACTGGAGTTTTCTAACCTTGCTTTTCATTATGTTTTGGGGGCAAAAAGGTTTGGTTTGGGAACATTTATTTTTAGAAGGTATGCCTTTTTATTATTTTTATCCTGCTTTTTTTTTGTGGACAGTAGTAAGTAATAATGTTAATTTCTCTCACGTGATTTGTAAGTCCTGAATTTCTTTTAATGGTTTGATTGTTTTTGGTTGGCACAAAAGAACCAGTGTGATTGTTCCTAGAAATGTAAATCCACGCTGTCATCCCCTATCAGGCTAAAGACATAACGTGATTTGCAGCACTTATGAAAGTGATCTGACTGCTAGCTGTACCTTTTTAAACACATGGCATCACTGTCCTGCAGAACCTTTTACCTCAAAACAGATGAACACCCAAGTAGAAGGTGCATTTTAAAATCTGCTGTTCATCATGTGGTACAGTCCTGGTGTCAGTGCTGCATTTACTTGGAAAAGGATATTTGAAGACATCCATGAGGACATTTTTAAGATGATGCATTGGTCTGCACAATATAGATGACATGTGTTTAAAAGATTGTTTAAATTGTACCTGTATATTTCCAGTGACCGTGTAATTACAAGATATAATTTTCATACTCAACTATTTTGAGTTTCTAAGCCAGAGATACAGACCGTCATGTGAATAGCATGAGTTCATATACTTGTAGTATTTTTTGGATATAACTATTGTACTAATATTTACTGCTGCATTTTCAGTGTTCTTGACTCCAAAAACCGAAAGAATAAGACTAGCTGGAATTAAGATTCTTCACATGAACTGTGTTTATGTTTCCAGCAACAACACTCGTGAATGCCACCATTCAAAGCAGCATCACATCTTGCATTGTAGTTGACATTTTTGTCCTTCTAAAAAGTGTTTCACATTTTCTCTAATTACAGCGCAGACACAGTCTAAAGCGTGAATTCAGTCGTTGAAGGAAATTAATTTTCAAGTAATGATTTTTCTGTTATCATGATTCAACAATGTCAACAATATCGCTGTTTGTCTGCTTTGATAACAGTCTGAGCTGTGATTTTAGAGTTTGGGATTTGAATCTCACTAACACTTTGTTTGGAGTTCATTTCCCACTGGGACCATCTGTACTCATGTATTACTCGCTACTGTAAGGAGCTTTGGCTGAAAGTGCCCACTGAACGGCAAATGTTATGTCATCTGTAGTGAAATCTAACCAACAGGCTATGCAGTATCTCACCCATGGATCTCTTTGTCCCTTTCAACACCCTCACCTCTTCTCTAAAGCTACAAGAGTTGATTTGACTTGTTTGTAAAAGTTCTTAAAAAATATGCAACCCTGTTAGATTTCCCCTCTTAGAAATCCTGTTTGAATCTTGACGGAGAGAGTTTCTCCTCCTGATGTTTGTCCTGCTGATTTAGTTGTTAACACTATTTAAGGTGGATGCTCGCAACAGGATGTTTTAGGCCAAATTATGCACCAAAATGAGCATAACAAGCATGTTTCCACAGTGTGCTCCGTGTGACCCAATCATGCTTAACAACCCTCATCTCATTAAAAAGAGTTCTCATCTTGGTATAAAACTCTAAATACCCAATTGCTGTCAAACCTCATGTTGCCTATTAGTAACAGTGACATAATGTTCCTTGTGACTTTTGCATGTCCAGAGTTTTTCCACTCCAATTTGCTAAACATTTCAGGGTTTCCTCAGAGGTTCTTAATCCGGTCAAACATCCTGTTGCGTGAACACATCCAGCCTTTAAACTGTCTTCTGAAATGCTTGACTGGCAGGACAGACCTTTTCACCCTTGTGTATTTGATTGTACAGAGATTTTGTAAATAATATTAATATGATATATTCTACACCAGCAATCTGTCTGTTGATAAAGTTGTTTCAGCTGTTCGGGGTCAGGCTTCCCAAACATGACTCGGCACTTCATTTACAATCCCAACGCAGACAGAAGATGTGACAAACCACTTTCCTTTGTAGCTTTATCACCTTTACCAACGCCATCAGAGCCGTGATAAATAGTATTAGCAAATACCAAGTCAGTTTTAACCTACTTGTGGTATAGAATTGATTATATTTTTTTTCTCACTAGGACTAGATATATCTGTAGATGTTTTTCTGTGATTGTCTAAAATCTGATCTGGCATTGAATGTCTGTGTTTACATGTGTTAACTTCTCCAATTGGAACAGGGTTTTGTTGCATGTATTGTCACTTTAATATAGTTTTCTCAATTCCATCCAGGCCCATTATACTTAGATTAAAAAATAACCATTTTAAATAAGTTATACTTACTCTAAATGGTGATGGTGAACTGAAGGGGAAATGTGGTATGTTAAATTAGACATTTCCTCTACACTTTTAAGTATTTAACTGTCCAGGTGTCTGTTTTCTGTCTGCGGGATTTCAGTGCCGGTTGTTCACATCGGCTCCTCTGTGATCTGGATCTTCGTGTGATAGTTTTGGGAAGCCCAGTGCTGGTTGTTGGCGTCAGATCTGCTGCTGCTTTTAACTCCGGTTTGAAAATAGAAAGGGTTAAAGAGAAAAAAAAATTACGGCTTCCTGCCTTGTGCAATGCCTATGTACTGAAGTGAAGAGATTTTTTTTTTTTTTTCTAAAAAGGAATTAAACTAAAACTGGATGAGAAATGTGTTCTGGGTGTTTCTTTACTCTCGTGTATATGACAATGAAAAAGGAAGCAAGAAATGACAGGAATGCAGTCATTTCTTAAATAAAGGAAAAGACAAACTTTAAGGAAACCAAAACCAAAAGTAATGTTACTTAAAGGGAGATCTGTGGGAGCTTTAAATCCTATAGAAGGATAAAAAGAACAATGTGACTGCTGACAGTTGCATTAACATTTTGGTTTACATAAAGGTGAACAATGCATTTAAAGTGAAGCTATGTAAATTAATTTGGGGGATGGGGTCAAATGTGTCCCTTGGCATCTGATTGCAAAACAATCCAATAGCAATCATACAAGGCAGGTTAATTTACAACAGGGCAATTTAATTTAATGTGCTGTATGTAAGACATAGAAGCCATTAAGACAAGATATGGTAAAGTAATTTGTAACCATATATGTCAAATAGTAAAAAAAATAACAATATAACTGTTAAATATAGTAGACTAAAGTATAAAATGACAGAACCAAAATAATCAGCACACAAATGCACCAGCCATTTTAGCTATGTGCACGTAGTTTTCATCAGCTAATGTAATTTTTTCACATTAGCTTGCTGGATAAAATGCTTTAGCACTGCTACAAAAGCTTATACGATGATTATTCAGTAGTATAAGAGGTAGCTAGCTTTATTTTAGCCTCGCCTAGGGATAGCTAGCTGAATGAAAACAATACAGTCAATTAAACATATATGCCAGCTCCTTAGGTGAACAATATGGAAGACAAATATAAGAATAAAATGACTTTTAATTTATTTTATTAACTAATAGGAGGTAGGGGAAGAAAGGGTTTCCTGTATTTTATTAACTGACTGGAGGTTAAAGGGAAATATTAAGCTTACTAACGTTATTACTTTTACACTCCCATTTTGTTTACTGTATTTTTATATTATTTATGTAGCCTATTCATGCCTGAAAACACTACCGTTTGTCGGTTTTGGCGCTCCATACAACAATATTAGGCTGTACCATAGGCTTTTAAAAAAGTAATACCAGTAGGCCTATGTTAAAAAACAAATTGTACAGAAACACTAAAGTCTTTGGAGATAAGTAACATTATCTTTACCACAGGAGATAAAACAACTGAGATAAATTATTATATGGCTCTCTTGTACCAGACAGGTAGTGTTCTTATAAAATGTAGCAATAAAAATACACCACAGTGAAATAGGGGACCTGACTGATATTGAGACACATTTCACGTCGATGGGGGTATTTAGGGATCTCCTCCTCCTCCTCCTCCTCCTCCTCCTCCTCCACTTCCCCTCTTATCTTCAGTTTGCGGCTTAGTTGTGTTGCAGAGCACCTTCAGGGTGCAGGAGAGGCTGCAGCAAGAAAACTTTCTTTGTTAAAACATTTGTTTTTAATCGCCATTTTGTGCTTCTGCCGAACAGCTGAGCAATGAAGCAGTGAAAGAGGAGCAGAGACCGTCTGGAAGTAGAAAGTCAACACACTTTGTTATGTGTTTTTTATCTTGTTGACTTGCATTGATGGTGAGTTTTAACCTCTCTCTCTCTCTCGCTCGCTCTCTCTCTCCTCTGCCTTTATCTCTTTATCGACATTTTTGTTTTTCTGGTAAACTTAACCCATTATGAATTAGTTGTAGCCAAGCTCTCCGACTCAATATCATATTTACTTTGGTACTAAAAAATTCACATGCTGCAACAAAACAAAGGAGCTTATAAATATTTTGAATTATAAAATAACATTCAAATATGACATTAAATAATTTTTAAATAACTTTAAAATACAGTAAGTACAGTAGCCTAATCTAATAATGTATTGTCTGGCCATTTTTGTGGCAGACTTTACTTTTAGTGCCAGTTGACTTTGCAGTATGGAGGGTCTCTTTTGGTGATGATGCTGTTGTTCAACACACACACACACACACACACACACACACACACACACACACACACACAGAAACTTTACAACCTGTTTGTTGAGATAACATTTTTAAACAACAGATGACAAAGCAAAATAAGCTCAACAGAAACCTTTGGACGGGTGCATGAGAGCAGTTTCAACAGCACAGATATGTACTCCCTTCTTATGTTTTAAAAAAGTGTGTCAGGGTTTCCTTTATTGTTTTATTTCCTAATTGAACGTTTGTTGTCCTGTAAGTGACGTCTCTGCCCTTTCCCACCTTCTTACACACACAGAAACACACACACCCTCACATTCATAGCTTGTTTGTCCAGATTGTTCAAGCTTTCGCCTGATTGGGTTTCCGTAACAGCTCAAATCGGACCAAGTAGCTGAAATGCAAAAACGGCACAGCTTGTGTGAAGGCCTGAGCTTTTCAAATGGAAACACATGCTGCTCCTCAGCTGCTGGTTTGCACCAACAAGTGTTTGAGACACATTAATGGGATGAACCAAGAGTGTGGCACTTAGCCCCGGGGTGTGTTTATCAAATGCAAACAACCAGGATGTAACAGTTAGCATTTCAGCCACTGAAGAATTCAACCACAGGCACACTGAACCACTACCAGCTCCAATGGAGCTGTAGCTGATCTCCAACTTCTGATCTGGTGTTTGACCAAACCTTTTATAGCTTTTTTGAAAGCCATAGTACAAGATCATCACAACAGCCATGTGAAAATCTCATTAACACTTTATTATCACATGGCTGCTCTGCTGCATCTTTACACTTGCAGATGAGACACATGAAGAAATTGTAGCAGAAATATATCTTTCACTGAAACCAAATTCTATGTTGACGCAATCCATCACAAAATTTACCAAAAGCAACACATAAGACTTAAGCACAGACCTGTTAAAACTCATGTCAACTAAAACAGAAAAAAGGTGGGGCAGGGCCAGGCTCACAGTATGACTGTCAGTTCATAAAATCATAAATGCAACATACAACATACAGCAAATTGGCATGAGAGAGTCAGGGCTCCCATCAAAGCTTGTTCACCTAATTTAACGGTACAATGTGTAATATCTGGCTGCGTGTTCCAAACAAATAGGAGGCGGCATTTCACCTCCTCTTCCCCCTCAGCCAGGCTACTCTCTGAGTGATTCTGCTCCTCTGCTCTTTTCTGATCACATGTTATGTTAGATCTTATCTTTATAATAACCCTTTTTATGTGTTCCTGGATTAGCGGGCGCTGCTTCTTCTGCAACGATGAAGTTCGATTTGTGTGATGATCTGCAGGAAGGGGCTTCTCTTCTACCTTTGTGTGTTAAAAACACAACAAACAGCAGCGATAGTATTTCTGATAGTGGATGGTCAGATTTTGATATTTAAGGGGGGGGGGGGTTGAAACTCCAGGAGAACCGCGGGGAAAAGGATAGAGAAATCATTTGTTAAATGTGGCACTTCTTCCAAGTGGACACATTAATATTACATGCAAGTATATTTGCATAAACATGTGTGCACAGTACATATGCATGTTTTTAGACTTGCAGCTGGAGAGGCGTGTTTCAACACTAGCAGAGTTCTAAGATACTGCTGTCTGATGTAAAGGCTGAACGTCTCATCGAGGAAATAATCCACCAAATGTATATTACTTCACCAATGTGTTGTGTTTAGTAGCTGGCAGCGCTCATTTTAAACTAGATTGGATGCATGGACAAATGGACCAGAAAGTAGCTTTAACTCTTTATGATGCTGACATTCGCAGCTTAACATCTGCCTGTTGTGGTTTCTGTGTTTTTTCAGTGACCGAGGACGAAGAAGGAGCTAACAAAAAGGGAAGAAGGGCCTTTTTTTTCTGATCTTCAAGCAAGTGACTGAGGCTTTTGACAGAACAAGCCCAGCCAATGAAAACATGCTGTACATTTAGAGACAAAAGGAGAACATTGAGGAGTGGAGTGTGACCTCCACCGTCCCTTCTAACAGTGGGAGGGGAAGCTGATGTCAGTCTGCCTTGTGATTAGCTGGAGTGATGGCAGTCACCAAGGAGGAGAAGCTCAACAGAGGTAGAAGGTCGTCGGGGGTCACGACCCCACCAGAAGGTGGCTGGGGTTGGATGATCGTGGCTGGTTCTTTCCTCGCCACCATCTGCATTCGGGCAGTGACCAGGTGAATGTGTGTGTCTGTGTGCATGTCTGGAGTATGAAGTTTGAGGAGTAAGATCATGGGCAGCACAACAGCTCACCCCCTACTGGTTAAACTTAAGTAGTTGGTATACAAGTTATCAATGTGATGGGCTATAGCCTATACTAAAAAAGTCACTAAAGTTACATGGATCTGGACGATTTGTGGAAGTTAGTATTTTAGCATGTCCCTGTCAGAGGAAGATTTGAGCTCTTATTAAATGCTGGATTTGCAGTATTGTGTGGCGTATGGTTCTGCCATACAAGGCTTCGTGCTCTTAGCTTTGGTCATTATCACCTTTATGTTATTTCTTGGCAAGACTCCATTCCCACTCAGCTCACATTGTCTAAGCCACTAAACTGATTTAGCAGCAATATTTTTTCTTTTTTCCACTAAGACTTTGAAATCCTGCTGAGATGTTTCCATCTTCCAAATTTGCACAGCCAGCACAATTCCTCCACAACTCAGCTGTGAGCTGACATATGCTTTCCACTGCCATTACCTTTTTAATATGTGTACAAAATGTGTAAAAAAAAAATTAAATTGAGATATGTCACAATCTACATACAGTAGATACTTTAACTGCTATGTAGCTTGATTATTATTGTAATATCTAATCCGCAAAGTAACTAAAAACAAAATGTACTCACCAATGCATGATACTAAAATCTAATCTACTTTCATAACTCTATATTTCTTAATATGTAAAATAATCCATGAGAAATACGGGGAATAAAATGTTAAACTTCAATATTCCAGAACAGATCACACAACTGTCTGTTTGATCACTTGGCTTCTTGTTTCACTTTTTAACTTGCTTCAGAGGGAGTATTAACATTCCCAGCGGTTTCTCTCTATGTGTGCATATATGTGTGTGTGTGTGTGTGTGTGTGTGTGTGTAAGAGACAAAAGAGAGACTAATATGTTTGCATATGATGATGGACATATTGTAAGTAAAAAGACGGCTGTAGTCTTCCAGTATCTTCAACCAAGTCCAGTTGCCCTTGACTTTAACCTTCGTTGGCTAACGCAACTTTCACCAAAGTCTGATCTGCTCTGGTCAAATGCCATGTGGCCTGGGAGTGATCTCTGTGGTTACATAACAGACAATGAGAGTCATAAAAATGGGTCAGGGCCCTCAGATTGGTGAATGATAGCCATAAACTGATAAAAACCTCACTCAACTCTAGTTTATCAACTATTTGATGTCAGCTCTCACCTTCTGTACTCTTTAATGACTTCCTGAATATAATAAATGTGTTATTATAAAGAACACCGTGTCATGGTCTTGCAAAACTTTGTGCCCCAAGTTTATGAGGTGGTAAACTGGTGGCACAAGATTTTGCAGCGTTGTCTTCTCTAATGAAGTTTTGGTGATGGGGTGGTGATGGTGCAATGGATAAGACACATACCTTTGATATGAGGGACACGGGTTCAATCCCCTACTGTGACCCATCCACCAACCCCTTTACAAACAAATATGATAATGTATTGTGTTTTGAAAGAGCTTCCAGACAGTGACAGCAAATATTAAATAATAAAAAGAGTATAGGTATAACTCTTGTGCTGCATCAGTGAGCCAAAGGGAAAGTAAAAATCAACATTTATAAGTACTATATATTTTTTGCAGACTATTGCGTAAAATGCACTAAATCCAACCTCCCTCTGCTTCTGTATCCAGATGTGTTTCCATGTTCTTTGTGGAGTTCCAGCTGCACTTTGAGAAAGATTATTCCACAACTGCCTGGATCCACAGTCTGATCGACTCCACCACCATGCTCTGTGGTAAGACCACCAGTACTAGCATTTGAAGGCAGGTCAGTGCTACAGTTAAGCCAGGTTTAACTGCAGCATTGGGGTGTTTGGTGCAGGAAGTGTTTCAGTTATTTCTAAAAACTGTGAGAATCTTTAAGCATTTTTGGTATTTTCTCATAAACTACAACTCTTACGTGAATGAAAGAATCTGACACATGTATTCCGTATTTCTCTTTCACTGTTTGTATTTTGATGCAGATCCAAATTTAATTTCCAGTGAAAATTAAATATTAATTTGGGTATATAAAATGACAAAGTGTCATCAAGTCATCAAGTGTTTGGGAACATCAAAACTGGAGAGCAATACAAGATCAGTTTAAATAAAGTGCAAACATTATGCCTTTTATAAAAATAATTGACTCAGTAAAGTTTACAGGTTTTATATCCCACATATAGCCTATATGAGTTGCTGTGCGTGAACTGCTCAGTGAAAATCAGTCAGTAAAATAGTAATCCACAGAAACTGTTTCCAGCTCCTCTGGGGTGTTTCCTTGGAAATCGCCTGTCCTGTAGAGCTACAGTGATCCTAGGAGGTCTGCTGTCTTCTGCTGGTCTGGTCCTCAGCTCCTTTGCTTCCAACCTGGAATATCTCTACATCTTCATGGGCATCCTTACAGGTACACACCATATGCCTACCATTTCATAGATAGTTTTAAACTGCCCCCGCCTCCTAGACAAATAAAAAAATAAATAAATCAACCAATGGCAGTGGAGGTGTCTCTGTGCTAGGCTAGCTCAGAAGCACCCGCAGATAGCATAGAGAGTTACATGCAGTGAGCTGAACTTCAATCTGCATTTCACCATTTTGGAGTTTAAAACTTTTTATGCCTTAATTGCTCAAAATCTAAAGTAATATTATCAACTGTGGCGGAATATCTCTACATCAATTTAACCTGCAGCTTTGTCTTACTTCATTGTAACCTGAAAAGCGACAATTTTAGATCTTATTTGCATCTGCACACTTATACTATAGATATAAATAACCATGTATTTTAGAATATTTAATGTGTATTTTATGTTTAATTACTTAAACCTTCCCCATAGTACTCAAATTATAACATTATACACCCTCACCTCCATACATGTAAGAGTCTGACCCTTTTCAGTTCACACTTATTGATGTCTGATTTTTTTATTAATTAAAAACTAAATACAAGCATTAAGTTGTTTGTGTGGGAGATACATACTTTTTTTCTGATGACATTTCATGGTTCTGTGGAGGTTGAATGCACTTGAATGTAATGCATGAATAAGAACATGTGTTTAGATTTGGCAACATTTGGCAGGTTTTGCCAAACTCCAAACCCTTTATCCATCCTGCACAGGTCTTGGCTTTGCTCTCAGCTACACACCAGCCATAGCGATGGTTGGGAGGTACTTCAGTGAGAGGAAAGCTCTGGCCTATGGCATCGCCCTGTCTGGTAGTGACATCTTTACTTACTTGTTGCTTTGTTTTCACGTCATTAATACCTTACTTTCCCATCCACTCTTCTACACCTTCATTCACTTTTCTTTCTACCTTATGTCTTTCACTGTTTTCCTCCATGCTTTTCCTTAGTCTGTTTTGAAGTCCCCCTACCTGTGCTTCTCCTCTACTCTCCTTGCCTCATTTCATCCCATTAAATTCAATTTCACCTCATCTTCAGGTAGTGGCATTGGGACCTTCATCCTGGCTCCTGCAGTCCAACTACTTATAGAGCATTACTCCTGGAGAGGAGCACTGCTCATCCTGGGAGGATTTGTTTCCAACCTGTGTGTCTGTGGTGCTCTGATGAGGCCGCTGGAACAAAGAGGAGGTGACATGTAAGTCCCCGTTCCACTTATACTAGGACTGCAACTATATATTTCTTCAGTTCATATTCATCAGTTCTGTATTTGATTAACTGATTAAGAGTTCCATCCAAAAAATGTCACATAATTGCTTGTTTTGTCAACAACAAATAACAATCCAAAACACAAAGATAATTAATTTACAATTAAAAACAGAGGAGAGCAGTACATTCTTAGAGCAACAGAAGGATTGGCATTTCCACTAGAAAAATAACTATCAACTATCTGCTATCAAAAATTGATGGACTTATTGCTTAATCAACTAATTAAATATTTCTACATGTGGGAAATATGCTTATTCCCATTCTTGCTGAGTGTTAGATGACAAGATTGATACCACTAGCTGTGTTTGTGTGCTACCTGTGGAGCTAGAATGAGCACATTATATGTTGTTTGTTTAATCCACACACAGACTGAAAAGTAAAAATGTCAAGTTGTGGTTTTGCTGGGAGCACTGACCTCTTGAAGTCTTGTCGTCACCGACGGTACAAGGCAACCAGTCTCTCACACCAATCATGCGTCTTATCCACTGCCACACCATAGTTAACTGGCATGAGAGTGGTATTGATCTTCCCAGTTAACTCTGGCCAGAAAGCCAATAAGCATATATCACCTGAACTAATCCTTTAGGAACTAAAATATACCAAATTCACTTTATGATCCATTTCAATGTATTTTTTTTTCTAAAAGGATATGGGAGAACAATATGGCAAACTTGGAGAAAGCTTGCATGACAACAGTGCTGGATTCCAAAGACACCAAACAAGTATCTGATTGCAGCCAAGTGGAGCCAAAACAGCTGGAAATGAACAACTTAAAGGATACACAAAGGCTTCTCATAGCCAATGGAGTGCTCAAAAACTGTGGACTTGAAAACAACAAACTAGGTTTGGGGAACATAGCACTGCTATCAAGTCCGAACCTGCCTCATCCTAGTTTAACAGATCTGAAGATAGCTGAATGCATGTTATTTAGCAACAAGTTAACAGAGACAATGCTAGGGGAGATCAAACTCGCAGATGTGAAAGTAGCAAATGGTTGCACAATTGAGGACTTGAAATCAGTGGAAAGGATGAACTTGAACAACAAGCCAGCTAACATGGATGCTAAGATAGAAGATTCAGAACTCACCGAAGCCAGACCAACAGATGCCTATCACTTCGATAAAATCATTAGCCCTCCTCCACAGCCTTTGGTGATCACAAAAACTTCATCCAGAAATCTCTGTTTTAGTCTCAAGTCCAGGGAGGAGTTTGGATTTCTGGTGTTACCAGACTTCCTGATTCTGTCTGTGTCACTCCTATTTCTGGCATATGGCTGCAGTGCTCCAGTAGTGTACCTGGTTCCTTATGCCCTCAGTGTGGGGGTGGGGCACAAGCAGGCTGCCTTCCTCATGTCCATATTTGGAGTCAGCGGCATTGTGGGCAACATCACCTTTGGATGGATCACAGACAGGGAGTAAGTAGGGTCAAGAGGTGTGATTTTGTGTGTGTGAAAAAATGCCAGGTATTTCATTAAGGCCCAGTACTGATGGTTTTCCTTCCTTCTAGGTGTCTGAAGAGGTATCGCATGCTGAGCTATATGGTGGCGATAGGCATGGAGGGCCTCTGCTGTATGTTCATCCCCCTCCTTCAGTCCTTCTCCCTCCTGGTCCCATTTTCCATACTGTACGGGTACTTTGACGGGGCATATGTAGCGCTCATCCCGGTGGTGACCTCTGATGTCGTAGGCTCCACCTACCTGACCTCCGCTCTGGGTGTGGTCTATTTTCTGCATGCTATTCCCTACCTGATCAGCCCACCAATAGGAGGTAAGTGTTCATGGATTTATTAACTTTATTTACAAGCCATAACTGTTTAAAGGTGTCCTGTAAAATTCTTGAGGATATTTCTGTCACATTCATTTTGAGATGTTGACATACAAAACAAGGATACAACTTTTGAGATTTTTACGTTGGCCTTGCATATCCTTTAGACTACTTGTTTTTGTGGAATAAAGCAGTTAATCTGATATCCTGTCCATTTCACTAGTGTTAACAACATTACAAAATATTTGTACACAGTTTGCGTATAAACTGAGGAAAACAAGGAAGGGACATTTCAAATCCTGGAATCACAGCTAGCTGCTTAGAGCCAGATAACACATTTGGTATTTTACCCTAAAGGTTTGTGTTTTTTTCCCACTAAGCTATAACACATATTTCCTTTTTCTCTTTCTCCAGGTTGGTTAGTAGACAGGACTGGAAACTACACAGCAACCTTCTTCCTCAGTGGGGCTTCCTTCATGTTCAGCTCTGGGGTCCTAGCAGCTGCTATGTTAGTCAGACACTGCCGGAGGTCCAAGTCTAACTCAGCTGTACATCTAAGTCCTAATTACATTGCTGCTGCAGGTCAGCAGGGAATCATGTGATGTGTCAATCAATATGCTGCTTCTCAACCTGCGCGGTGCACCTCATGACGGCTAAAATGCGAGTTTACAAAGAATATAGTAACAGTGCTATTTTGATGTACATCATACGCTTCTGATTTGTTTTGGACATATGACCCATAGCTCAGGCTCAACAAGAGCAGTGGCCAGAAGACACAAAGCTGCCAGAACCTGTGTCTTTCAAATAAAACAAAGAAGAAATATTGTGACTTCAAGACAAACAGTTTGTGTTATAATGAGTTTTCTGTTTGTTGTTTAATGTGGATATTTCATTTTTTAAAACCAGCTTTCTTACTTAATGGACGCCAAAGTTTGCAAGCAGGTTGCCATTAACATTCACAGGCTTTAGGGAGCTTTCCTGTAATATTGAGATTCAAACTGTTTGTGCCAATTTACTTAGTTTCTAAAGTGTTGCTTTTTCAGGTTGACACCTGACTACGTTGAACATCGCTACACGTTAGGCTACTCTGTGCAGGTAGCACTGTGTATATAATAATCTTTACACAACTGTTTTCATGATACTTCTGTTCTAGTAGGCTTTTTAAAACATGTTTACATTGCCGGCTTCCCACTGTGTTTGTGTCATATTAGTAGAAGCAGAAGAATGTGATTCATTTGCATGTGTCATGAACATGTTAAAAATGGTAATGATCATGCATGCCGCCAAGTCTTAGTGGCAGATGCAAAGAATCAAAACACTTTAAATAATTTTTACCTTACTTTATTTAATGATGATGTTTGGTCGGTATGCTCAATTTATCATAAACAATCTATAGTGGATATTTCTCATCAAATATTCTTGATGGTATTAATGTGAAAACAAATGATAATTTCAATACCTCGGATTGCACTGCAAGTAGTTGTAACAATCTGAAACTTTTTTTTGCCTGCACCGCTGGAGCTGGTCTCCAGCAGGAATAAATATTTGGAAAAAGTGATATTCAAACAGTGATTAGTAGTGTTGTAGTCAAGACCGCCTTAACTGAGACCAAGTCAAGACCAAGACCAGAGTTTATCGAGACTGAGACAAGACAAAGACTTTTCGGGCTGAGACCAAGTCGAGACCAAGACCAAGGGGAGGGCGAAACTGAGTCAAGACCAAGACCAGTTCGTGACACGCAATAAAATGTGGAACGAGATCACAGGTACTTCTCAAATTGATCTGAAAGATCCATGTTCCCTTTAAAACACCCATGTACAAACACTATGAGCTGAAATCAACATAAGCATATTTATTCAGCACTCCTTCTCCATGCTTACCTTCGCAGGTACGGGTGGCAGCTGTTACCGAGACAAGACCAAGTACAAATGAGGTCGAGTTCGAGACGAGACCAAGACCATCAAAAAGTGGTCTGAGCACTACAACACTAGTGATTAGTGATATAAGGTATTACTAGAAGGACATTAGAAGAGTCTTGCTATTTAAAAAAAGATAACTTTATCAATGACTTTTTTTTTTCTAACAGAAAAAAGTCTGTGGAAATATTACATGATTTAAAGATTTAGTTTCGCCCGGTCAAACATTTTATCGCCCCAGCTAGACGGTAGACACCTGTAAGATCTTGAATGTGCCACTAAAGATGAAACCCACTGCTGGTCAGCAGGTAACTGTGAACTTTAAAGAGGTGGTATTATGCTCATTTTCATTTTCAAAATCTTATTTAGGGGTTGTACCAGAGCAGATTAATGGTTAAATTTTCAAAAAAACACCATATTTTTTTTCATACTGCACATTGCTGCAGCTCCTCTTTTCTCCCTCTGTTGAAGGCTTCGTCTTGTCTCTAAATGATCTTTTTTGGGAGTTGCACATGCGCAGTTCCTAGTGAAGGACTACTATTAGAAGCAGAGAAGGGCAAGTCAGTGAGAAGCAAATACGTCTTTGTTTCAGCTGTACAAGTTGCTGACCAGCTTGGCTAGAGAAAGAGTTTCAGAGTGATGAGTTAATAATCTTTCACAAACGTTTTAACTGACCTCTCTCTACATCACAGTAACAACCTTACATTGACTGTCTGGAGGGTAGCTACTGCTTGGAAGGGATAGGAAGTGTGTGCTGCAACTCAGTGTTTTTTCACCGGTGTTTTTGAGGGCGTGTTGAAGTAGCCGCTTGGCAAGCGTTATATGAGGTGCATTTAGCTTTCTTCCCTGTGTCATCACAAGGATGAAAGGGAAGCGGCTGGGCTATAAAGGAGCTGTTTTCAGGCAGTTCAGAGTGTGAGTGTGTTTTCAGAGTGTTTTCTGTGGGAGATGGGAACTTCCTTTGGGGTGGACTTTGGGCTTTTTCACTTTGCAAACCTATCACATGCACAAAAAAGGTATATAACTCAATAAAGGAGAGGGAAAAAGCCAAAAAGCATAATACCACCTCTTTAACGTAGTTTTTGGGGCGTAGATCCGTGGGTTACAGAAGTAATGTTAACTATTGGTTTCTCTAAAAGATAATTACCCTGATATTTTTTGAAAAAGCCATTGTTTTTGAGGTAACATTAAATATTAACGGTTGATGAAAAAAAGAAGTTTTTATCCAGTTTCTCAAATTGGGGAGTCTTCCATCACAGAATCTGTGTCAAACCATAGACTGTATTTTTTTAATTCTAGAGAATGTATGGAATATTAAAGTTCATAATCAGCAAGGGCATAGGTTTTGCTTTAGCAATGGAGGAGCCACTTATTTAGAGGGGGGTTTGGGAGCCCTCCCCCAGCATTAAACACTTAATTTCCTGCATTCTGGTGAAATGTTCTGCACCAATTCTTGCCTTTTCTGCATCCATTTATGGTGAAAATGTTTTTAGGCTATGTCAACAGAAACACAAAACTCAGGCAGCAGGTGACAATTTAAAATATAAAATATACCAGAATATAATTCAGTAGGTGTATGGCTTTCAAGTATTTTGTATTTCTTTTTCATTAATGATTTACTCTTCCCTCCTCTTTGTGTCTTTGTTTGGGGAAGTTCCTCTTTAAATGTAAAAAAAGGATAAATCAATTCATTTTAATTCAGTTAGATACTCCTGGACTGAATGTTCAAAACTTTTTGCTATGTCGGGTAGATGTAATCTGACATGTCCATTTCTATGAAAATAACATAATCATTTAATCACAATGTTTCAAAATCTCCCTGCCCCATCCTGTTCATTCCTTGCTCTACTGATATTATATAGAACTAGCGGTGTGAATGCTAAACTGGATTGCTAAACTTCATGCAAGCTCTCATTTCAGCCTCTTGAACAAGCAGTAGATGCTCCTGTCTCTTTAAGCTCCCCCCTCCCCCCTCCAAAAGCCCACGGTGTTCTGATTGGCCAAGATCCTGAAGCAGGATGATTATGCCGCTCAGCGGTTGAGACAAACTAAGCATAGGAGTTGCCAGTTGTTATTGAGGCTGCAGGCAAATTACCATATATGGAAAACTAGTTCTGTATGACATCATGAAGAGCCAAGAGTAGAGCTCTGGCCATGTTTAACATGAACATCTGACACTGAAACATTATACATAAGACAGAAAATATAAGAAGCCTAATAAGTCTCCTTTAATGTTTGCGTGTGTGTGTGTGTGTGTGTGTGTGTATTGTGTCTGTCAGTGTATTAATGTGTGTGCGTGTATGTGTTCAGTGAAGAGGACACAAACACGTGTTCAGAAAATAGCTTAACTTCAGCTCTACAAGTGAGACAGATAGGAAAATCCTTCTGAGACTTTCTGTCAAACAAACCTCCACTGAGACAAAACTATAGGTTGTATCGGCAAAATGACCTGACCAGCAGCAGCAGAAGGCATTTGTGAACAATGTGATATGTTATTTTGTGTGGATAAAGTAAAAAGAGTGGAATTTTGACACAAATTTATAATGG